CAGCAAGAGCCCCGTCTCACAACTCGACTGTCTGGTAAATATTGATGTTGTCTAATCAGTCCACCAGAATTATCAGAATTATCTCTTCTGAAGTACAATTACATTCTTTTTAATTTTTCAGACATTTCTATGTATCCTCCCTTTCCTCCCTTTAATCACCCTGCTAAATAAAGAACCAATTTTTGGGCCATGTATAGTTATTCTAGGGCAGGGTTCCTCAATAGGCGGCCCATGGGTCACATCCGGCCCCAAGAGAAGAAAGTTTGGCCCGCGCTAATTTCAAATAATGTGGCATGAAAATTAAAACGCAGCATCAGAAAGCTACATTAACTTACATCGTGTCTACACCGGGCGTGATGCGTGATGCAATAAAATACAAGAACTCGTTATAATCAGTGATGCTGCACTGGATGCGGCGTCAAATCCCCGATCCCCGACAGTAAACTGCTGACTCGTTGTATTTATAACATACTGACACAACGTTCAAATGATCACGTCCAATGTAGATACAATGTGACAGCAAAAACATGGCGAGTGTGTAGAAAAGAAAAGTGGACAATCAAAATAGATGATTCAAATGTGAATGGACTGAACAGTTTTGAGTGAGTGACTGATATCTTTATGGAATACACGTGTTGGTTCGCAGTGAGTTCACAGTTTTAACGTACAATTTTGCTTTAATTTATTTTCAAGATCTGAGGTAAAATATCTATTGTTGCTTTCACTATGGCTATAAAGATAACCCAAAATAAAATTCAAATTCACATTAGAAGACACTTTTAACATTGAATAAAACACACAATCATTACCTGAGATTATCACTGTCATATTTTGTATGTTCCTGCCGCGACGTCGCAGAAAATAAAAATCGTTCCTAAAATAGAATCCCATGCCGCTTATTGTCACGTGTCGCTGTCGCGGGTGGTTAGGACAAAAACTACAAGGAGGAAAAGATACTTTTTATCGCGTCGTGTCTGGTTGGGACACACGGTGTTACAATTTGATCTCCCCCCAAAAAATCTTAAGCATAAAAATATTAATACTGACAAATCTAATAATTGAATCCAGAGAAGAGATCCAGTCTGGGAATGAGCAGGAACAGTTGATTTGCATGGCAGACATGGAGATCCAGATTTTTTGTTTGTTCATTTGTTTTTAATATTCAACAGGCAAAGTTCTTCTGTATCTAAATGCAAAAGTTTTCATAATTGTTTGAATAAAACAGACTACTGGAGAAAAAATCTGAATATTCATCTTGTGACCATCTTGTGATTATTTTAACAAAAGCTACAATAATATAATAATTGTAATAATAATACAATTATATTTATATATATATATATATATAGGTCAGTGGCCCTTGGCTTGGTATTGTTGGCAGAATTCGGCGAAAATTGAGGATCCCTGTTCTAGGGGAAAATACCATGATGGCTCTCCATTATCCCCCTCAGTCTTTGTAACTTGCTTTTTTTGTGTGTGTGCATGTCCCTGTGCTTGCTCCATAGTTCAGAAAGTGGAGTATTTGATGAGCTGTTCGGCCATTATAAAGTGATTTAATTTGTCTGAAAGCCTGGAATTATTGATCTCCCTCAGGAACAGATCTAGAATTCTCCTGCTAATTTGAAAATGTGCTTCATCCTGGTGCTGCAACTAAAAACCCTTAAAAGCCTTTCCATACCCACTTACCATTCTGTGCCCTCTTATTGGCCGCCTCTCCTCCTCGATTAACCTTCATAAACACAGGTTAGACAGGAATTAGAGAGCCAGAGCAAATAACATAGAGTTGAACGGCTGCTTTTCAGCCCTGCCATTTCGATTGGTTCACCTCTTCAGCCTGATTATTAAGGGGCTGGAGAGGGATATTGTACATATTCTTACAAAATACAAAAAAAAAAAAAATCCCCCCACCAAAATCCTCTTTTAATGCAGCGTTCCAAAAATGTCTGTCTTTCAACATGTGTTCCATGCTTCTCTCTCTCTCTTTAGAACAGGGATAACTATATCCGTTCCTGTAAGCTGCTTCCGGATGGCCGTACTTTGATCGTTGGAGGGGAAGCCAGCACTCTGACCATATGGGATTTGGCCTCTCAGACTCCCCGTATCAAAGCCGAGCTCACCTCTTCTGCCCCGGCCTGCTATGCACTGGCTATCAGCCCTGACGCCAAGGTCTGCTTCTCCTGCTGCAGTGATGGAAATATTGCTGTCTGGGACCTTCATAACCAAACCCTTGTCAGGTAGGAAGCAAGCCAGGAGTTGCTGCATGACATGGTGTCTCTTTGTGGATAGAGATGCATATGCTGTTCTGATGCATTAAACGACAATGTGTATATGTATTGTCTATGTATGTAGGCAGTTCCAAGGCCACACAGATGGTGCAAGTTGTATAGACATTTCCCATGATGGCACCAAACTGTGGACAGGTGGACTGGACAACACAGTACGGTCCTGGGACCTCAGAGAGGGACGACAGCTCCAGCAGCATGACTTTACTTCACAGGTAAAACATTACACACACAATTTTTTCAAAACTTTTGAGCGGTAATAATTTTGAAAGAAGTCTATTATGCTTACCAACGCTGCATTTATCAAAAATACAGTGAAAACAGTAATATTGCGAAATATTATGATTTAAAGTAAGCATTTTCTATTCAATTTATTTTAAAATGTAATTTATTCCTGTGATGACAGCTGACTTTCAGCAGCCATTACTCCAGTCCTCAGTGTCACATGATCCTTCAAAAATCTGATTGGTATGCTGATTTGGTTCTCACGTAACATATTAATGTAGAAAACAATTTCGCTGAACGTTGCTGAATAAAAGTGTTAATTTTGAGGGGGAAAAAACAAAACCTTTGAACACTAGTGTATTTATCTATATGAATGTGTATACACTGTATTTACCATAAAGTTTTCTTGACTTATTTTAATGACTTCTTTACTGTTCCATTTCTGATAATATATCGAAAATCCAAATCAGTGTTTGTGCATAAATTGTCTATATGCTTTTAGATAAGTGTGTGATTGCCTTTGTGCTTTGTGCTCTCATCTAGATCTTCTCTCTGGGCTACTGTCCGACGGGTGAGTGGCTGGCTGTGGGAATGGAGAGCAGTAATGTGGAGGTGCTTCATCACACCAAGCCTGACAAGTACCAGCTGCACCTGCACGAGAGCTGTGTCCTCTCCCTCAAATTTGCCTACTGTGGTAAGACACTGTTACTTCACCTTATATGTAGTGCATCTTGCACCTGAGAATAAATGGGGGGAAAAACAATAGACTTGCTATGAAATATGTCTGAGCCATGACATGGGAAAATAATTGCACAGAGTACTTCTGCCTTACTTTAGTATTCAGTGGTGTTTTTCCATTTTAGCTGGGCCAGGTTGCACTTTGTACCACCCCCAGCGCTCTCTCTCTTTTTCTCTTAATGGCTCACTCTGCTTCCAAATAAGTCGAGCTATAGTGAATCAAGTCATTTAGATCAACCTTGACTCTGTACCCATTAGTGCATGTGTGTTTGTTCCATTTCCTAAAGGTAAATGGTTTGTGAGCACTGGGAAGGACAACCTCTTGAATGCCTGGAGGACTCCCTATGGTGCCAGCATTTTCCAGGTATGTCAATCAATACCTCATTGCCTCCCTTCGCTACTGACCACAATACATTGGGAATGAATGTGTGTTTGTGTGATTTCTAGTGTGAGATTGATAGATTCTGTCTTCAGGTTTTCTTTGGGACTTTTATCCCTGTTGTAATAGAGTCTTTGAGTGATGGCTTTTATTTTTGCTGTGGAGATGCAGCTGTACATAAAATGGGCCATTAGTCTGCTAAAAACAGCATCTTTGTTGGCAAACATTTTGCAAGTTTAATGGTTTAGCACAAGTTTGAGGAAACAAGGATGCCATTGTAGTCTGTCAACTGCTGCTCCACTACGGGTTTGTCATATTGCTTGCTCTCTGTTTACTAGTGAGAGTATGATCAGCAATATTGTGCTTTTTTTTTTTTTGGCTAAAAATTTGTATTCTGATATTTCACACATTTCCTCTTTCTTTCATTCTGTCTGCTGACATGGTAATCTGTTATGATAATCTATTAATTCTGTTTAACACAAGGGAAATTCTTGCTGACATTCAATTAGATGATGGCCGTTAAATTGTTTGAACAACTTAAGGCTCCCTGCTTCAGGCAAAAGTCACACAACTCTGCACTGGTCACATATGGTGCCAATTGTCTATACACCTACTTGCCTCTCAGAGTGGCTTAAATGCTTCAGATAATATTTAGAAGGGAGTAATGTTGACATGCTGCTCTGTGGTTTATGATGTCACCAAGTCTCTATTTGTTTATGTCAGCTAATAGTTTTCCTGCTTTCCTCCCTCCACAGTCCAAGGAGTCGTCCTCTGTCCTGAGCTGTGACATCTCAGCTGATGATAAGTACATTGTGACAGGATCTGGAGACAAGAAGGCCACTGTGTATGAAGTGATCTACTAAATTCACTGCTTCGCAAGATATAAAGACCTATGTATGGAGCTTCTCGTTGGACCTGATGTTTAATGGATTCGAGATCACTCCTCCACTTTTTCCTCCTTTTATAGTAGGAACCCAGGTTAGGAACTGGTTGATCCATTGGGATCGGTTTCCAGATGTTTTTATATTTCGCACACCTGGATTCTTACAGCAGTGGAGCAGTCCACAACAGATCAAAACGGAAACGTGTTAAACTGTCCCAAGGACTTCCTGACGGCACTAATGTAGTAAATATTGTCTTGCCTTTGCTTTCGGTCTGCTCATGGGATTGTGTGTGCCTATTTCTACCATAGTATTTCCCCCCTGCCTTCGTACCTTCCTTTTTACAAAAAGTGAACAATCTGTGATGTAATATGAAGCAGTGCTTAAGTTTTAGCCTCCTGCTCCCTGGACAATTTGTTAAAAAGTGTATATATGGAGTAATAAAGACGTTTTATAAATATATATAATTCTATATATTTCCATGTCCTGATATACTTGTGATGGTTTCTTTGTCCTCATGTCCTTAATGCTTGATGAATGTAGATTAGGACACACTTTTTAATATTGATTTTGTAAGCACACTCTCTGGGCTGGCCATTTGCTAAAAGGCTCACGTGGAAAAACCCTTCCTGTTCCAGAATAATCTTGGTAATAGTTTTTTTTTTTTTGCTTTTTGAGCCTATGTGCAGTTCATGGAAAATGGGATCAGACTGGAATCCTGCGGAAGTCGGAATACGATGGAAACAGCCCAGAGGAGAGTGAGGAGATGTTTGTAAATTGACAGCGATATTAAACCTGGAGAATGACTAACTGTACTACTTTTCTGTGCACTTTGCATTGTGTGGCGTCTTGTTGGAAAGATGAATTCAGATAATGAAGTGTGATTGTAACATGCTGACTCGGCGTGGATCGCACATTGCGATGAGTAACTTTCCAACTGATCCCATAAGTGGCCCCACTGTAGTTCGCTGTTGTTGAAATGGGATATGATTCACCCCAGTGATTGACAGCTTACTTCTGCTGTTGAGCCCCACCCTAATGAGCCTGCAGCCCTGTTTTCACTCACAGATTGATGTAAACCTTCTTCTACATGAGTGATCGGAGCCAATTGGGGATTCGCTTCTGTACAAGTTGAGCCAGTTTTCTAATGAATATATTCTTTGCCTGCGCTGACTTTGATGGAAGCTAAGTGTGAAAGTGTGTGGGCATACGAGAGCGAGAGAGACCGGCTCTTTTAAACCTGATCCTGACTAACCCTTTTTGTGTAAATGTGGACTGTTTTAACTGTGGGAACTGGAGTCTGCTTCATGGGGCCGCAGCAGAACCGGTCACGGCAAACTCTTCTTTAGTATTTAGTACAATACAAAACCTGACCCG